ATATACAGTATATTTTTTGTCATTTTCCAAAAACTTGTGGTAAAAAAATAAATTCTTCTATTGATTCAATATGCCTCTCAGCAAATAGTTTGGGGTGTCTACGTTCCAAAAAGGGGTCGTTTTGGGGGGTGGGGGCATTCTATGCCCAGCATTAGAAGTTTATGCCACACATCACTCACTCTTCTAACCACCTGAAGACCAAGCCTTTTCTCACACTTTTTGTTCACATGAACAAAATCAGTATTTTTTGCTAGGAAATTAATTTAAACCCCCAAACATTATATATTTTTTTAAAGCAGACACCCTAGTGAATAAAATGGTGGGTACTACAATTTTTTATGGCACATAGTACTCGCGCAGCGATTTTTCAAATGCAAATTTTAAAAACAAAATACACTTTTTTTACTTTTAATGCACAAAAACACAATATATTGGCCAATTATTTGGTAAAATATAAAAAGATAATGGTATGCAGAGTAAATAGATACGAAATATGACATGCTTTAAAACTGTGCATGCCCCGTGCAATGGCAACAAACTGCAAACATTTTTAATATCCATAGGCAACGCTTTAAAAGCCTTTAAAAGCTACAATTTTAGATTTACAGAGGAGGTCTAGTGTTAGAATGACTGCCCTTGATCTGACGTTGATGGCAATACCTCACATGCATGGTGCAACCGCTTTTTACAGGGTCAAGGCTTGTGCACACAGGTGCGCGCGCATGGGAGGGGCGATTTTTTTTTTAAATTATTTTTACATTGTACCTTCCATTTTTTTTTTTTTGATCACTTTTAATGCTATAACAGGGAATGCAAATATCCCCTATAACTTCAATGGGCATTGTCATATATTATTTTTTGAGAAATCTGGGGTCTATCAGACTCTGGATATCTCCTCTGCCCTTACATTATCTAATCAAACCAAAATCGGTGTTATCAGATGCTTTCCCAATTTACAAATGGTGCTGTTTATATCCTGCGAAACTGAATTGATGAAATGCTTGTAGCTTCCGAATTCTTAGACTATAGAGATGATTGGCACCACTCTGGTCTCCAATCAGCTCTATGGTCAGCTGGCAGAAACACCAGCTGCATTCTCAGGTTCCCCCGATGGCACGAGACTGCCCCGAGAAGGCCGTGGGAGGCAGCGGGGGAGGGGGGGGCATAATATCCCTCTGCTTGTAAAAGCAAACCTGCAGCTAATTAGCCACTAGGATTGCTTTTACATGAAAGACGATCACCGGCTGAAAAAAACGATACCAGGATGATGCCTGCAGCTGTAGGCATCATCCTGGTATAACCATTCAAAGTCCAGTGATGTACCAGTACATCGCTGGTCCTTGTTGGGTATATATACTATGTTCTTTTTTTTTTTTATGCAGCCTGTGGACTGAATGAAAAAATGAGAAGAAATCTCTGCCAGAAAAAGTGTGTTGTATGCCCACCATTAGAATATACCGCCCTGCATCCACCCACTTCTAATGGGTCTAATGTGATGACTGGTGTACTGACGGCAATCTGACACTACCTGAAGGGGCGTGAAAACCACGGGAGCACGAATCACGTATATATATATATATATATATATATGTGATTTTGCGCACCTGTGCCGCCCTGTAGGTTACAGAAGCGGTTTGTGTTACGTCGCTGCGTTACTTTAACTGACAATTGCGCGGTCATGCAATACTGCACCCAAATTAAATTTACATCCTTTTTTTCCCACAAATTGTGCTTTCTTTCGGTGGTATTTGATCGCCTGTGCGTTTTTTATTTTTTGCGCTACAAAAAAAAAAAGGCTGACAATTTTGAGAAAAAAAAAACAATATTTTGGACTTTTTGCTATAAAACATGTCCAGTAAAAAGATTTAAAAATCAATTTCTGCCAAAATGTAGTCTGCGACATGTCTTTGCTAAAAAAAATCCCAAAACGTGTAAATTACTTGGTTTACATGAAAGTTATAGCATCTACAAATGGCGGGAAAGATACTGGGATTTTTTTTTTTATTATACTAATAATGGCGGCGATCAGCGACTTATGGAGGTGATCAGCGATTTATGACAGTGATCAGCGACTTATGGCGGGACTGCGGTGGACATTTTGACACTGGGGGGGAACTGACTTGGGGTCACTGACATTCCCAGTGACACCAATTCAGTGATCAGTGCAAAAAAAAACCACTGACACTGTACTAATGGCACTGGGGAGGAAGGGGGTTAACATTTTTTAGGTAATGAAAGGGTTAACTGTGTGAGGGGAGTGTTTTACTAGGGGACAAGGGTGTGTGCTTCACGGGAACACGCTGATCCCGAGAGATAAACTCTTTTCTCAGGTTCAGCGTGCTCTGAACTGACAGAGTGTCAGGAATGGACTCGCCAATGGTGGTGGGACTCACCTGCCTTGTGGGCTGCAGTACCAAGGCTGGCCAGCGGGTGCTCTCAGCAGCCAGAATCTCACTCCTGCAATCAGGCAATCACCTGAGGCTGATTGCAGGAGGTGTATTTAAGCAGGACCAGGCCTGTGATCAGTGCCTTGGTGTATGTTTCCCATGAGCCTCTGTACCTGCATCCTGCCTGCTTCCTGCCTGATCCTGACTCTGAACAAACTCCCAAACTCCGCCTGTCCTGACCTTGGCTATTCCTGACCACTCTTCTGCTCGCTCCTGGTACCCTGTTTGCCCATTAGCTACCGACCTGGCCCGCCTGACTACGTTGTGCTCTCTCTATATATATAATATATATATATATATATATATATCAGTTTAGGTTTGGGTTTGTTTCACCTTGTTGTATGTATTTGTGTTAGTTTTGGGTTTGGTTTATTGCACTGCGTTTTTTTATGTTTGTGTTGTCCTTAATAAATTATCTTGTTTACACGCTATACCTGAAGTCTGTGTTTCCCTGTGTCGGTCCACACACCTCTGGTCATTCCCGGAGCCCTGACATTACACCAAGGCCATTCCTGACCAGAAGTGGCTGCACAGGGAAGCCATCTTGGCTTGTTGTTGGGAAGGATGCATCCTGAGGAGGTTATATACTTGTATTTGCTAGTCTTAGATGACAGAGAATTTGCCTATCAGACTTTGCAGAAGTATACCAGGGATCAGCTGCTAGAGTGCATACGGGTCACTCATTCCCTAGTAGATCAGGGCACGGAGTTCTGAGGTGCAACCTTTGATTCAGGCTTGTGTTGAGTTGGCTTCATCTAGTACCCCTGAAAGCAGGGATGACTTTCTTCCACCATTCAGTGTGGATCAAATAGAATCACTGGTATGGTTGTTGGAGGATGATCCGGATTGCTTCTGGGAACATTATTCAGCATGTTCACCACATGTGCTAGTGGAGTGTATAAAACGCAGTGCAGTCTTTGGTCAGACAGGCTATGTGTAAGCTGAGTTTTGTTCAACCAATACTACAGTCCTGGTCAGACTTGTTACACCCAGCCTCAGGCAGCTTGCAACAAACCCGTCCTGCTTCTAATCATTCCTCTGCTCAAAGCTCTATTTCTGCATTCCTGACAGCACCCCCAGTGACAGCTCAATATACCCTGCTATCTACCACATGTCAGTACCCTGTTCCCACTTGCTGCACCTATCCTGCCTTTAACCCTGTAAAAAAGGCTGCTGTAACAACTATTCCCTCCTCTGTTCCATCCTCCAGCTCTTCTCTGTCCCCAGCTACTCCATCCATTTACAGACCTGCATTTACTTGCAGTGCCCCAGTAACTAAACCCAAGAAGAAGCGAAAATTCTTTCCAACCAGTACCATCCTACCAGTATCCAATCCGGTCAGCCTGCTGTCTGAGAACCTGCCTTCCGTTGTTCAGCTTGATGCCCTGATGCCCCAGTGTACGCTACCCAGCCTGATGACCCGATCCATCCTGATGACCTGGTGTTCGTGATCCAGCCTGATGACCCGATCCAGCCTGATGATCCTACCCAGCCTGATGATCCTACCCAGCCTGATGGCCCGCTACACAGCCTGATGGCCCGCTACACAGCCTGATGGCCCGCTACACAGCCTGATGTGGTTTCGTGATCCAGCCTGATGACCCGATCCAGCCTGATGACCCGGTGTTCGTGATCCAGCCTGATGACCCGATCCAGCCTGATGATCCTACCCAGCCTGATGATCCTACCCAGCCTGATGACTTGGTGCCCGCTACCCAGCCTGATGGCCCGATCCGGCCTGATGGCCCGATCCGGCCTGATGGCTCGATGTTCGTGATCCAGCCTGATGACCCGATCCGGCCTGATGACCCGGTGATCGTGATCCAGCCTGATGACCCGGTGATCGTGATCCAGCCTGATGACCCGGTCCGGCCTGATGACCCGGTGATCGTGATCCAGCCTGATGACCCGGTCCGGCCTGATGACCCGGTGTTCATGATCCAGCCTGATGACCCGATCCGGCCTGATGACCCGGTCCGGCCTGGTGCCTCGGTGCCCGTGGTCCGGCCTGGTGCCTCGGTGCCCGTGGTCCGGCCTGGTGCCTCGGTGCCCGTGGTCCGGCCTGGTGCCTCGGTGCCCGTGGTCCGGCCTGGTGCCTCGGTGCCCGTGGTCCGGCCTGGTGCCTCGGTGCCCGTGGTCCGGCCTGGTGCCTCGGTGCCCGCTGTTCTACCAGATGACTCGGTGCCCGCTGTCGATCTTGGTGAACCTGTGCCTGCTGTTGAGCTTGGTGACCCGGTGCCCGCTGTCGAGCTTGGTGACTCGGGGCCCGCTGTCATGCCAGATGACTCGGGGCCCGCTGCCGTGCCAGGTGACTTGGGGCCCGCTGTCGAGCTTGGTGACTCGGTGCCCGCTGTCGAGCCTGGTGACTCGGTGCCCGCTGTCGAGCCTGGTGACTCGGTGCCCGCTGTCGAGCCTGGTGACTCGGTGCCCGCTGTCGAGCTGGTGACTCGGTGCCCGCTGTCGAGCCTGGTGACTCGGTGCCCGCTGTCGAGCCTGGTGACTCGGTGCCCGCTGTTGAGCTTGGTGACTCGGTGCCCGCTGTCGTGCCAGATGACTCGGTGCCCGCTGTCGTGCCAGATGACTCGGTGCCTGCTGTCGAGCTTGGTGACCTGGTGCCCGCTGTCGTGCCAGATGACTCGGTGCCCGCTGTCGAGCTTGGTGGCCCGGTGCCCGCTGCCTCGCCTGATGGCCCGGTACCCGCTGCCCAGCCTGATGGCCCGGTGCCCGCTGCCCAGCCTGACGTGCCCCGGCCACTGCCCAGCCTGACGTGCCTCCGGCCGCTGCCCAGCCTGACGTGCCTCCGGCCGCTGCCCAGCCTGACGTGCCTCCGGCCGCTGCCCAGCCTGACTGCCTCCGGCCGCTGACCAGCCTGTGTGCTTCCGGCCGCTGCCCAGCCTGACGTGCCTCCGGCCGCTGCCCAGCCTGACGTGCCAGCCCCTGATATCCAGCCAGTTACCTGACCCAGGCGGTGGAACATTTTGCCCACTAAGGACTGTTTGGAGCATCCTGAGGCCGCTCCTTGAGGGGGGGGTACTGTCAGGAATGGACTCGCCAATGGTGGTGGGACTCACCTGCCTTGTGGGCTGCAGTACCAAGGCTTGCCAGCGGGTGCTCTCAGCAGCCAGAATCTCACTCCTGCAATCAGGCCATCACCTGAGGCTGATTGCAGGAGGTGTATTTAAGCAGGACCAGGCCTGTGATCAGTGCCTTGGTGTATGTTTCCCATGAGCCCCTGTACCTGCATCCTGTCTGCTTCCTGCCTGATCCTGCTTTGATCCTGACTCTGAACGAACTCCGCCTGTCCTGACCTTGGCTATTCCTGACCACTCTTCCGCTCGCTCCTGGTACCGTTTGCCCGTTAGCTACCGACCCGGCCCGCCTGACTACGTTGTGCTCCATATATATATATATATATATATATATATATATCAGTTTAGGTTTGGGTTTGTTTTCAACTTGTTGTATGTATTTGTGTTAGTTTTGGGTTTGGTTTATTGCACTGCGTTTTTTATGTTTGTGTTGTCCTTAATAAATTATCTTGTTTACACGCTATGCCTGAAGTCTGTGTTTCCCTGTGTCGGTCCACACACCTCTGGTCATTCCCGGAGCCCTGACACAGAGAGCAGACTTGCAGTGTAAACACTGCAGCCATGCTCTCTGTCAGTGATAGCTGGTAATCGCCGGGACCCAGCATGTAATGACCGGCCGGGACCCAGTGATGGACACCTGCTGCCGCGATTGTCGGGACAGGTAGGGCGGGCGTGCGTGCGCCCCCTACCTGTTTTGCAGCACGCAGTTTAAAAATGGCATGCTGCGCAGAGGTGCCGCCCTGCCACAGTAAAAACACTGTGGCTGGTCGGCAGCCAGTTAAGTTATTGCTGTTATGTTTAAATTGACATAATAAAGCAATGTTATAATTGCAGTTTTTTATATTGTGGACTGTTTATTCTAAAGAAAAATGTAATTTCATAAGCTTTAAGGGGGCGTGGTTGGGGCGGGATGGGGTGGGGTGGGGTTGGGGCAGACATGGGCAAGACTGGGTGGGGCAACTGGTGGAGCGTAAGGTTTGTGCCTGGCTAGTAGGTCTGGACTTGAAATTTTTAACCCCTGGTCTATGTAACTATAATTGATTTTTGCCTATAGGTCTTGTTTCTTTGTCACTGTGGTGTACTACATTCTTCTCATTACTACTCTCCTTGGGACAACCAAAAGTGTCACAGGTCTTTTACAATCCTGTAGTGTATATTAAAGTGTTCAGGTTTGGGTTGATGAAAAGGTGGCAACCATAGCCGATGAGCTAAAAGAAAGCAGTGGCACTTTATGAGGCTATTTCAAGCTTCATCTCAGTGATGGATTAGGATGAAGAGAGCCCAGAAGCTGATCTTTAATCATATTTCCTGGTGGCACCCTCCTAATTTGCACTGGAGACGAGGCTTGAAATTGCTTCATTCAGTCTTTACCTCCATGGCAGATTAGAAGGGGTACTGCCATAACAAAAAAAAACAAAACAAAAAAAAACAGTTCAGCAGATGTAGACCTTTTATAAACAAGCCAGCTATGACTGTGGAATGAGGCAAATTCAAGCCTCAAGGAAGGGCAATGCAGGGAAAGAAGAAGCCTGCACAGAAGCAGGCCTTATTAAAGATCTGCTTCTTGGCCAATTCTTCTTTCCTGGCGGTGCCCTTCCTAATTCACTATGAAAGTGAGGCTTGAAATCGCCTCATTCAAACCTCACCTACATGGTGACTTCACGTTACATGTGCAGTGAGTTGCTATTACAAAAACTTTGAAATGGTTAACATATCTTATTACCATCTTATGGCTTATTTTGTAATTATTACACTTGAACTTTTCTCTCTGGGCAGGGAGGTGGGAGTGTATGTATGGAGAAATTCTCTCTTGGGCGGGGGGGGAAATGGGGTGGGGGGTGGAGTCTTTGTCCTGGGTGAAAGAATGTCTAGCTTCCCCGCTGCTCTTCTCATACATAGATCTCCCCAAGCTGCTCTGCTCCTAGGTTATCAGCCCACATCTCTACAGCTGCTCAGCGCAGCCAAGTCCTTTCAATGAACTACCAATATGTTAATTCTATAAAATATCAGAAATTGTATGAATATGTATATCAACATTTATTATATACATAAAATGAGGTAGTAATTTTTACAAGGTAGTAATACGCCATAGCATTAAAGTGGTATTAAGCCCAAAAGCAAACATATTGCAGCTTACCAAGTCTTAGATATGATTGTATTAGTTTTATTTTTATTTTCTCCTGGTGACCCAGCCAGTAAGTGTGTTTTTCAACAGAACAAGCTCTTCTGCAGATGTTGCAGTTTAGAATGTTGAGACAAAGCATTTACCATTGACAGTGCTTAAAAATGATCAGACTTATTTATTCATGTAAAACATTTTTCCCAAAAGAAAAAAACTGTAACTGCTTTTGTAACTGCAGTGTTAGCCAGAGCTTGGCTTCAATTTGTTAGCGTATCTAAGTCTGCCAGAACATCTAACACTGTTTCGTAAGCTGCAATATATCATATTTTTGGTTCTGGGCTTAATACCACTTTAATGAATGCCTCATTTGTTAGCATACAAAATAAAAATTTAATTTACACGATTCTAGGAGAAACATGTTCTATGTTTGCTTACCAATTGAATTCTCACCTGTAGAGTGTTCCCTTTTTATGGTCTGGCACAGGAGGATGAGAAAGAAAGTGAGAAGAACAAAGATGCCCAAAGAGCTGAGGAGTACTCCATAAAGATTAAGGTCTAAAAAATCAAATGAGCAAGGGTAAGACAACTAAAATTCATTAGCACTAGACACTTTAATTTCATAACAAACAGTTTAGTGTACAGTGAGGCTGATTTATTAAAGTATTTGAGATTGTTCACTGTAGTGACTTTTGGACTATTTTTAAGAAAAATGATATTATCCCAAAAAGGAAATTATAAGCTGATTGTCATGGGTTAAAATAGTTGATCAACTGCAAGTGACCTTCCAGAAAGCTACCATAAACAATGAGTGGAAGAGACCTGTTTGATATACAATGGAGACCAAATACACTATTTGAGGTTTGCAGATGCTCAAATAAAGTACCATAATTTGACATTGGTGGGACTAAACCTTATTTACTCTGGTTCTGCCAAGACCTTGCAGATGTGTGTTATCTAAACAAGTAACATTGTCTATGGAAATCCAGGAGATACCTCAATTGCAGGTCTCAAAGAAACTCAATTATAGTGAGTCAAAAGTCTCACTAAACTCCAACTGGATGTGTACTCATAAGAAAAAACTTGGTTCATTTATGATATTACAAAAAAAAGTGTGGCATATATCTGAACTGAAATATTATCAAAGGTATATACCCACACACCAAGATCTATTTAACCAATTCAATACCGTGCAAATTTACACCTTCCTGCCCAGGCCATTTTTCAGGTTTCAGCGCTCTCACACTTTGAACGACAATTGCGCAGTCATACAACATTGTACCCAAACTAAAATTTTATCATTTTCTTCACACAACTAGATCTTTCTTTTGCTGGTATTTAATCATTGCTGGGGTTTTTATTTTTTGCTAAATTAACAAAAAAGACTGAAAATTTTGAACAAAAAAAACACGTTTTTCTTTGTTTCTGTTATAAAAGTTTGCAAATGAATAATTGTTCTTCATAAATTTAGGCCGAGATGTATTCTACTACATGTCTTTGGTGAAAATAACCCAAATTAGGATGTATTTTTTAGTTTGTAGGAAAGTTAAAGAGTTCACAAACTATGGTATAGATCTGAATATTGATCAATCCTGAAGTACTGACAGCCAATCTAATTTCTTGAGGTCCAAGAATGTCAGAATAGTATAGATATCCCCCAAATGACCCCTTTTTGCAAAGTAGACAGTCCAACGTACTTCATAAGAGGCATGGTGAGTTTTTTTAAGTACTTTTTTTGTCATAATTTTTCGGAAAATGAAAAAAAAAAATTAATTTTCACTATTTTTTTTTTTTACATACTGTCACCAGTGCAGTACAGCGTCATCATATAACTGGCATGGCGGTGATCAGGGACACTGACTGGTGACAGTGTGAATTTTAATTTTTTTTATAATTTTTGTTTTCTTTTTTTTAAGATTTTTTTTTTTGTATTTCACTATGTCCAAAGTAGTACAATGTTACCATAGTAACATTGTACTACTTTGGGGAAGTGATCAGTATTTTTTTTTTTTTTTTTTTTTTTTATACAATTTGCTTATAGCAAAGAATTACTTTGCTATAAGCAAGCATTTACCTGAATGACATTGATTCATTCAGGGTTTTTTTTTTTTTTTGTTTTTTTTTGTGCTTAGCTGTGATTTGGCCACAGCTAATCACATGACATGTGCATGTGATTAGCTGTGACCATTCACAGCTAGACACTAGTAAACAATGGATGGCATGAATTAAGCCATCCACTGTATACAACTGTCATGTGACCTGCTGTGATTGGCCACAGCAGGTCACATGGTACCGGCAACAGGGGCCTGTACTCAGATCTGTCATCGGCCGTGTCCGAGGTACAGGGCCGGTGACAGATCGCGCCGCTGCGCAGCTCTGCAAGCACGGGAACTGCGCATGTGCGGGAGGACACCATATGGCGGCCTCCCGGAAAGCTAATACATTTTTACGGATGCCATTTGGCCATAGGTCGGGGGTCAAATGGTTAACAAAGTTGGGTACTGCATATCACTCAACTGAAGATCATGAAGTTATAGAACATAAGATGGTTTGTGAGTTGGGTAAATTACATATCTCCAAATAAAGTTACAACAACACCTGCGTATATATAAAGACGGAGAGAGAGATGGTATAAATCATCTGATGAAGGGGAATTAAGCACACAAGATATTACCAGAACAAATTATGGCATCATTATACAGAGATCCGCCCTTTCATGATACAAATCAGCAATCCCAATACAGCTCAAATCAGGAAGATGAGACACCAAATATAGTTCACATATTTCTATGGTCCTTATTCAAGAGATAATGGGGAAGTCATTTGTACCTGAATAGGACCCATATATTGTATCCATGAAGATATACTATTTATATCAAAGGGTGAGTCCTCGTTAAGATCACCAGTTCATTTGTGATACCTGACTGTCTCAGGTGGACAGGTAAGGAACTTCTAAGTTACACAAACTTCTTAACCCTCCAATCAACAAGCCCGTTGGGAGGTCCTTCGGAACAAAG